AATGAGCTACGGCTTGGCCATCTCAGTTTGTATGTAAACACCTATCCCATCCCCTTCAAGTCTTGACTCATAATCAATTTTCATTGCATCGCAGCTCGTGAGTTTATTTCCTTCCCTCTCCCTCTGCCCTCCTTTACATTGTGTGTCTCGTGGGGTTGACAATAGGGATAGATGGTAGGTAACCTTATTCCATTCCCACTAATCCCGCCATTATAGTATAGCCATTAAGCTTTCTGGTAGCGTGTGAGTTCTAATCTACTTCCTAACACTCCTTGCAAATGATCGCTTACCCCGTAGTAGTTCTGCATTTCCGACTCTCCAAACAACGGCGGCACACCTGGCCCCTCCGTTTCCTCCTCCTAAAGTGCCTTTCTCGGCACCGGTGAGTTTTGTATCTCATTTTCTTTTGAAAGTACATATGTCTTACCAACCATTCACTAGATTAAACCTCTATCATGAGTTTTGGAGTGGAGGTCCGTCTCAAATGATTTAATACGGTTACTGTCTTGAGATAATGCTGACTTGTTCTGCTTCCGATCCTATGATCTGTCGCCTATCTTTGTTTTAGTGCAGGATGTGATATTGGGTTGTGGAGGAAGGAAGTTATGGGGTTAGCTTTATGTTGTTGGCGGAGTTTCAGTTACGCCTGTACCGAAGTCTTACAAATTATTACTTTTCCAACAATACGAGCCTCTGCTGTCGCCTCATATTGTTGTAAACCTACACTTTGTCACTATTCCCCCCCGTATTCCGGGCCCAAATCGGAGACCAGCAAAAAATCAGCTCGATAGCGGCATTCTAATCCGGTGGGGTGCAGTAGGAAATCTCTTATGGATGGTTGATGGATCATCTGTTTGGCTTGCTTGGCGAGTTTGCTTGAGCTGGGAGGAGTAATGGTGAAAGTGCGAACTAGCTTCAAGCAATCCTTAAGTAGAGCCTGTTCTCGAGCTATAGTTACCCTAGTACTTTCTAGTGGGTTTTGGCCTACAGCCCCTGAAGTACTGTACTCGTGCGCAGATAATACTCATCAGCTAAGTTTTGGCAACCCATCTGTCCTACCTGCTGACAGCTATGTAGGATATTGTGGGAAAGAGGTCCGTATTTTCCGCAGTTAAACACACCGTGTAATCGCAGCCATTTGATTGCTTTAATTTGTACTCATCAAAGCTTGGAATCGGTTGGAAATGGTTCTAGGGATTCAGTTCTTGGTTTAGAAGGTGTTTGGCTGGAGCGGTAGGCGGGTTGACAGTTCCGTTCATAGATGATTTTAGCAGGAGAAAGGGTTGTCTTGGCACCTTCAGAGCTGGGGGAAACGGGGGTTTGTATGGGGAAATGGAACGGAACAGTCGCGTCCAAACAGGCCCTTAGATGTTCCCTTCTGTGTGGGATGTTCTCGTACTCGTAGAGGTTGGCATTGATCCATGTTACGCTTTGTTTTAGGTATCGGGCGTGGGGTCCAATCGACGAAAAGGTCTGTTTTTTCGTTGATTTTGGCGCAAAACCAAGTTTTTCTTTCTCTGCTTACTCTCTTCTTCCCATTGTTGATAATGCATGTATTTTGTTGATCGTGCAATCATTCTCCCCACTCCATGTATTCAAGTTACCTACACACATAACATGGTTTAGAGCTATTTTGATGGTGCGTGATATAATGCTATCATACCAATCTTTATCTGAACCCGATTTAGGGATCGTAACAGGAAACGTGATTGGTCTTGAGACTCAGGATGGGCAGGTAACCTTTGATTGTGTATGATACAATACCGCGATTTTGCCTACAATTCAAAATGACAGATACTATTCTTAGAAACCCTGTACTATAGCCTTCAAAGTACTTGTATTTTTTTCCTGCTGCCCACCTCAATTGCCAAGGCCCAATTTCCTCCACTCACTGCATCTGTGATATGTGATGGTTTCCGCAAGGCACATATTCTGGATATATTCAACACAGCCAACTTCTGTATAAGAGTTACATACCTAATAATCCCGGAGATGATGTCATAGTTGCTTGTAATATTCGGTATCCTGATTCCGTATCTCACAGTTAGTGTTTCTTTGCAAAAAGATGTCACTTAAAAGTGTAAACATGTATCTGTATAGCTAAGACAGTTAGTGTCACAGTTTCTACTTTGTTTCTTTAGATTTCAAGGATATGGTGTATCAACCCAATAATTATCAAGTTATAAATGTTGAGTTCTGTCCTTACCCTATTGTTGTTGGCTCTGTTAGGGCTTAGTGCTGTCTGAAAGCTTTTTGTCCTCTTAGCATGTTTGTTCTGAGAAGGCTAAGAGGAAAGTTGTTTGGTCTTTTTCCTTCTTCCTCATGCAACATCTTTTCCAAATATCAATACTGCAATTTAACTATAAAAGCTTTCTTTTCTATCCTCCTTAGCTTCTTGTTATTCTAGAAAGTTATTTATCCTCCAATTATTCCTCCTTAATAAGCCCTGCAAAGTTTCCTTACTATCACATCTATCACCACCCCCCTCCTCCTTCAAACAGATACTATTTGGATCCTTTGCTACTGAGGATATCCATGAGAGTTAGACATGCAGACATTGCATCTGTATCATGATGTATAATTGGTTTATCCACTGTAGTCCTTCTGACTTGGTGTACTAGTTGATGGACCAGCTACAGTGAAGATGAGAAATCATGACACACAGACAGAACTAACAAGGATGGCACCTATCATAAAATGGGCTAACCATCTTCAGAACAAACAAACAAACAAATACGATCATACAACCAAATAAGAGCTTCCACTCTGCTCTATTATACACGTATCTGCTTCCCCACACATCCTTTCATCCACATAACAGTTGCTTCTACTACTGGGCCAAATACACAATCTACCTTCACTAGCAATGGGTGATCACACATCATCCTCCACGATTCTATCCTATCTGTCCAACTTCTATAGTAATGAAATGCCTCTATATGGCGTTAGTGCAGTCAATAATCACACATCCTATTTCTCTCCCTATCCTCCTATTCTCAATCTAAGAAACTACTATTATACTACGAGTAGTTTTTCATCCACCAACTAGGGTACCCAAGAAGCTGTCGTCCCAGCCTCAATGCTCAAAGAGCTTGAGTTCAGATAGTACCAGTATCATCTGGCAGAAGTTAAAGAGCTTAAAGCCATCCATCAACTTCTGGTAGATGGACTGATAGAAAACTCCTGGCAGGATTGGATTGACCAAGTTGCTGAAATAGGGGCAAAATAAAATCAAGTCTTCAAGCTCCAAGTAAGGTCTCTTCGTCCTTTTTTATTGTACAATCTCTAAGCAATATAAAGGTTAATCTAAAAGACAAGATAAATGAAACTCTTAAGATTAGAGAAATGTGCAACATCTGTGTGGGATTAGGTAAACAATTTTCCCTTTTTACTGGGTACTAACAACTAATATTGAAGTGCAGAATAGATTGTGTACTGAGCAAAAGAGTTGGGGAAAATAAACAAAAATTATGCATCCAGCATTCAGGTATGCTTAAATGAGCTAGTGAAGACTGTGGCTTTGGTAGGGTCCTGGAAAGGGAACTAGTATCCCAACAGCTATTAGAGAAGGATGTAAAGCAGTGCATCACTATTCTGTACCATGAAGCCTCCAAACAGGCTCATGGAACTTGAAATAAAGGAAAAATAACTATCTATCATGAGGATCATGTATAAAATGAATGGACTGTATTGGTAACTTTCTTCATAGTCCAGAGTGGATGGGCAGATTGCCAGAAATGGGAAGAAGTGGGAAGATTAGCTGAAAAAGTGTAAAATAATAAAGTAACAATTGTCAGGGGTGATGATAAAAGCAATACAAGATTGGGTAGAAAATATCTGACCGTGACTCTGGAGCTGAATCTTTTGAATTTTTCACACTCCCGCCAGCATGATATAATATTGTATTTTAGTGGTTGGTAACTACTAGGACTATAGTTCATGCAGACCAAAACCGTAACTAGATTTCTGGCAGTTTTCAAACAATTATACTATTAGATCCAGCTACCTAGATAACCTAAAAAAACCTCTACATTATTCTCCTTATCTTTGTCAACAACATAGTAGTTTTTTTGGATTATTTGAATAATCTGGTTTGGTGGTATAATTATTTGAAATAAGGTATTTTTGATGTGAATAAAGAAAATGTGTTACACATACCCACAGTTTCATTTGCAGTTAGAACACTATTTGGATTAGTAATTCTATTTTTGTATCAAGCCCTCACATAAAATACATCTTGAAACCAATAACCTATAAATCTTTATTAGTATAAGTATTAAACCTACTATATTTTATTGTATAATACTACAGAGTAATATGATACAGCATAAATACCCAAGTTACCAATGTA